TGGCTTCAGTTATCGAATCACTGCAGAAAACCCATCCTCTTTAATCTCCACCGTTGCCAGTAGGAACCCACTTTCAAAATCCCAGACCTTCAAGCGAGCGTCAAACAAATTATTGAAGGATTTTGTTCGCTTGTCGACTTCCAGTAAACTACCCCATCTCCTTCCTATCAATGAGAATAATCTTTCGTTCCAGCAATGAAGAGGTAGATCACATACTACGATCCAACCCCCGTACAAAAATATTACATCTGTTTTGCAATGTTTTTGCTCAGCCCATTTTTCCAATTTAACAGCCACCCCTTTGTCAAAGAATCTAAAACCGAGATCTGTCAATTCTGCCTCTTTCTTTTTGACAGCCCAGAATAGAGCTTTGTTGAGTTGAAATTGCCAAAGAACAATGCCTTTCTTTAAATAATTACTGAATTCCTTTTGGATGTGATTCCAACTGACGGAAAAATCAGTCCAAGTACAGACCACCACCCTCTCCAAATGAAGTTCAGATGCAATCTTTGGTTGAAATGACGAAATTCCTTCGAATAAATCAGCGTACACTCCTCCCCTGTTAGCCCCTGTTTTTTTTCCCATAACCATTTCCTTGCTTTTCCACCTTGATGCTCTCTCTGTTTCCTTGCCACAAGCTGCTGCCTTGATAATTTTCTCAAGCATTCTGGCTATATCATTCCACCCACTACTATCATTCCCTGCCGGAAAAATAACATTGTTTCTTTTCTCCCCTCCCACCCATTTTGACAATTCGATGAAAGAACCTCTTGTGTTGCTGTATTTCTGTAAGCAAAACACTGCTGAACTGCTGCTATATTTGCTGAAAAAAGTGCTTCTGTTGACATTCTTCCATGCCTCTTCCAAAGCCTTCATTGCCCAGTCAACTCCCTCCAAGTTCAACTTCAAAGAGAAGCTACGCATTCTATTTCTTTCAATTATCTCCACCAAATCACCCTTGGATCTCTTGTCAACCTGAACAATGATATCCTTTTGTTCGATCCTCAATTTTGAGGATAGACCCCTGTAACCTTGCAATCTCTCTCTCATCCATTTCTTCCCAAAAATATATCACCTACAACACCAATATCCATAACCAAACGTGTATCACTTTGCCTAGAGTCGCCTGAGTTTTTGGTTTCTTCAAAGCAAGCTCTTCCTCAAGAAGATTGTTCACAATTGAGGGGATTTCATTGGACGAAAAAGACTGGGCACTCTGTGTTCTTCATATCACACTTCTATGCGTATAAACTTTTTATTTTTACTCGTATCATCTTCATTCTTTAATTTTTTTGAAAACAAGCTCGAATAATGCATTTTTAATAAAGGAATGTGAGTAGTTTTTGTGACAGCCTTGGCCCTTCGGATGACGTACTACTTTGTACATATATTTGCTGTTGTTAGCTGATTTTTTCGGCTTAGAAATGTGATTCGCATGCTTAGGAATATGATAAAAGTTTCTCTTAAGTTTAGGATTTTATGCTATATTCACTTTGCCTATGATGTGCCTTGAGATTTATGATTTTCACTTCGTTAGGGTTTAGGCGGTCTCAAAATCCCTGCATGTCCACAGAGAGCCCTATGACTCTTTCTTTTTTCATATTTATTATGGTTTTAGTTTTTGAAATCTACCTACCTCATTTTTATATTTGGTTAATAGACTTTTTGATTCCAGAATGGGTTATGAATTGTAATTTTCATTTATGATATTTATGATTCCAAAATGGGTTGTGAATTGTAATAATTTTCGTTTATGATATTCTCCAGACCTTCCTTTGTGTTGATGGTGTAACGCCCCAAATTTCTAGCCCAAATGATAATACAACAATCATGGCTCTTTCAAGGAAAACTGAATATAAATCTCCAAACTTACATTACATGATACAATAGTTCTTCATGCAACAATACGTTAATCCAACCACAAGTAAATAAATAAATAAATACCTCCAAGGGTTTACAAGTTTCCAAGGCTTGAGCCTGGTTACACAAAACGGTTATTCAAACCCACACAAACACAGCCCTTGGCTTACACACAGAGTCACAGCAAAATGAGAGCATTGTACTCCCAACACACATACTTCCATGCCCTTAGTTGGGTGGGATCACCACATCTTTTCCTGCACAAAAATCCCGTAGGGTGAGCATAAAGCCCAGTAGGAAATTCTTAACAAAGTATATACATTTTATACAAGTCTCAAGAGATGAAATGCACATGCCATGCTATACCCCTTTTTGAAGATAAATCACATTTTCATCTTTTGAAAACCATCATGCTCAATGATATCATGCAATTTCAATTGTTCAAAATTAAACAATTTATTTAAAGGGCGGTAAATACAACTCTGGTAATCCCTAGATCGGTGTCTACAAAGTACTACCAAATTGTCATTTTTACCGGTATTAACCAGAAGGCTCGACACCTATCCGCGTGGGTTTTCGGTCTTTCACCTCGGACTCTCAGGCCAACTTATTCAATATCATCTACACCACCTATCAAGACTTACCAACGTATTTACCTCAAAACCATTCCATGAAAACTTGTTTCTCAACATTCTTTTCTCAATGCAAATTTTCAAATTAACTTTCAAAGTTTAATGTAATCAAATGAATTGATATGCCAATTTCACAAGATGAATATAAATACTTTTATTCTAATTCATCATCCAAAGAATAACACAATTCCCTCTTCTCAAGTATCCTCAACAATTAGTTATTTCAAAACTATTTCAACGTTTTGAACAATAATTTTCAAAATGAACAACAATCCTCATATTTCCTGAAATTCATCATTTATATAAATATAAATAAGAAATTTTCCACACATATATTTATTTTAACACACAAAATAAATATAACAATATCATTCATAGATTTTCAAACTTTTTTAAAAAAAAAATTTCAAATTCTAGATTTTCTCTCTCACCAAAACTATACAACTCAAATCTTTTGAAAAAAAACTTTTCAAAATCATCTTTTCTTCAATCAACGAAGATTAAAACCTAGAAGATCATTTTAAAAGAACAAGAGACAAACCCATTTTCAAAATCGTTCAACTTCTCAAATTAACAATCAATTTTCAAAGCTATCGAAAAATGATTTCGAAAATCATATAGATCTTGCAAATATATATATATATATATATAACTTTAAGAAAATCCCTACCTCAAGTTTTGAAGAAGAAATCAGATGAAACCCCCAAAATCAACGGTGTCGAAACTCGATCTTCACCGCACACAACGAAGTCCTCGAAAAGTTAACCAACTTTGATGAAGAACCTATGGCAGAACTCTAATGGATCTTGAGAAATCAAGGTTTTGATCCAATTTGGCGTAGGGAAATGTAGAGAGAAGGGAGAGGAAAGGGTTTTTAGAGAGAAAGATATACAAAAGTGATCTGAAATATCAGATTCACGAACTGATATAACATGGTCTGCTCGAGCGTGAAAAGCCATGCTCGAGCGTCAAATACACTTTCCCAGTACTTTTGCAGACAGGTCAAAGTTCTAGAACCAAACATTCTCCGCTCGAGCGCATAAACGGCCGCTCGAGTAGATAAGCAACTTCTAATGCATTTTGCATTTTTGCTTCGGGGGTGCTACCCCTCAACCCTGCCAGGGCACTGCCCTAAGACCCGGCAAGGGGCTCTGTCCCCTGGACCCCCGCGAGCTGACCGGGCAGCTCGATCCCCGCCAAGGGGCGCTGCCCCCTGGACCCCTGCAAGCTGACCGGGCAGCTCGATCCTCGACATACTCAGCGAAGTGACAAAATTGGGATCGCTATAGATGGCGTCAGGATTTCTTTGCAATTAATGAGATATCATCAATCATATTGAATAATGTGCCTCACAATTGGTTGCTGGACTGTCTCAGTATGTTAAAAATTAAGGGGCAAATTACATATACACCCCTCGAGGTTTGGCTAAATTACAGATATCCCCCTGAGGTTTGAGAAATTACGAATTCCCCCCTGAATGCTATATTTGCATAAGAAATTAGGGGGTAATTTGTTATGAAATATAAACCTTAGGGGGTCAATTGTTATGAAAATACAAACCTCAGGGGGCGGGATGTAATTTTCGAAACCTCAGGGAGGTATCTGTAATTTAACCAAACCTCGAGGGGTGTATATGTAATTTGCCCAAGTGTGGGAGTCTAGGGCACTGCCCTGGGACCCGCCAAGGGGCGCTGTCCCCTGGACCCCCGCGAGCTGACCGGGCAGCTCGATCCCCGCCAAGGGGCGCTGCCCCCTGGACCCCTGCAAGCTGACCGGGCAGCTCGATCCTCGACATACTCAGCGAAGTGACAAAATTGGGATCGCTATAGATGGCGTCAGGATTTCTTTGCAATTAATGAGATATCATCAATCATATTGAATAATGTGCCTCACAATTGGTTGCTGGACTGTCTCAGTATGTTAAATTAAGTTCACTGTTTTATATGGTCATAGTATGCCATCCATTAAAAGTGTCTGGTGCTGTTATGTGTGGGCATGAACCTAAAAAAAAAAAGGAAGAAAAGAACCACCTCCTCAAGTAGAGCAATCTGATACTACTTGATGCATATAATTGACTTCTTTCATGGATCTGGCATTTTCTTTTTTCATTCAGAATCAATGGACATGGTTCTGAGACTTTTGTGCCTTCTCTTTATTATTTATGCAAGCTTTACTCATTTAGGGCCTGAAAACTTTCTTCTCTTATCATTATTAGCTTTACTGTTTATTCTTGCTGTTATGACCTCAATATGCATGAATTGTTCCCCCTTTTGCACTTTAAGTATTAAATTATACTTTATCAAGAAAAAGAAATTAATAAAACATGATGTTTTCTGTTTCCTGATACTCTTAAGAAAAATCTAAAACCTTTATTTGTCTGATTCACTGGTTCAGAGCCATCTTTCCCTGGTGATGCTAAGTATTTCTGTATTCTTCAAACTGTGAGAATTAGGTTTCTCCTTTAAGTTTAAGCTCTTTGTTCATACCTGTTTCTTGTTATTTCTTCAGGCAATAAAAATCTTTTGGGAATCGGATCTGATTGTTCAAAAACAGTAGCTATGGGATACATATCTCCAAAGTTATACGAACTCTTTCAAATTTTTCAATCATTTGGGTAATAAAACTTTCTAATTGGCTTATCCACTTATTAACATTCGAACGGTCTCAGCTTACTGTGCTCATTTGCGGTTCCAGAGAAGCCAGGCAAGTGCTGTGCCTCATTTTCGTTGAAAGAATTATAACAGCTAAAGTCATTGAAAGAGTCATGAAGAGAACAGATTATTTATCTCATTTGACGGTTTCCTATTTGACCGGAAGCAATTCATCAGTTGATGCCTTGGCGCCAAAAGTGCAGAAAGAAACTCTGGAATCATTTCGCTCTGGAAAGGTATTTGTCATTTTGTGTCATATGACTTGCAGGATAGTTTTCCATGTAAATTTATACTGAAGAGTAAAGCATTGTGTCTTAGGTTAACCTATTATTTGCTACTGATGTGGTTGAAGAGGGAATTCATGTTCCAAACTGTTCTTCTGTCATACGCTTTGACCTGCCGAAGACAGTTCGCAGCTATGTTCAATCTCGTGGTCGAGCTCGTCAAAACGACTCCCATTTTGTCATGATGCTTGAGAGGTGAGGTGTTATAGACTGTAGAGTATATATCATGCATACTTTTCAAATTGAAGATACATTAATATTCTGTATTTGTGGAAAGTTGCCTGTTGAGGCATTCCTTATCCTGTAGTTCAAGTATGTCGAACACTCAAAATTCTAACTATTCCATACGCATATCTGTAGGGGGAACATAAAGCAAAGAGATCATATATTTGATATCATTAGGAGTGAATACTCTATGACAGATACAGCTATAAATAGAGACCCTGACGCCAGCGTTTTAAAAGCATGTACCATCAAGGAAATAGATGCATATTATGTGGATGCGACTGGAGCATCAGTAACTGTGGATTCTAGTGTCAACCTCATTCATCGATATTGTGAAAAGCTTCCTAGAGATGAGTATGGATGTGTTCTCTTTGTCAAATTTTCAACCATAGTTTCCTGGCTTTGCAGACTCTCTCTCTCTCTCCTCACACACACACACACACACACACACACACGCACGCACATGCACACACCCACACAAATTTGTACTATACTTAAGCATTTAACCAGTATGAAGCCTAACTAACAAATCTTTTTTTACTAGGTACTTCACTCCAAAGCCCATTTTTCAGTTCATATTGTCTGGAGAGTCATATCAGTGCAATCTGACGTTACCTCCAAATGCAGCTTTTCAGACTTTAGTTGGTCCTCCAAGCAGGAATTCTCATTTATCAAAGCAGCTTGTGTGCTTTGATGCGTGTAAGAAATTACATCAGATGGGTGCTCTTAATGATCATCTTCTTCCTTTTAATGAAGAGCCTTCAGTAAATGATTCCACTTTAAAGAGCAAAAGATCAACTTCAAGTGCAGGTATCTTTTATATTTAAATTTACATTTTGACAAAAGTGATTATATTCTAGGTGCTTCATAACTTTAGAAACTTGGGCCTTCTTTGAAAATCTCATTTTCATTTGCTCAGGAGTCATAATTTAAGCCTAAATAGAATAAATTTGACAATTTTTGCAACTGAAGAACCCTAGGGATTATAGATGATACATGAAAGTACAACTGAATTCTTTTCTAGAATTCAAGCTTGATGTCATTCTTTCTGCATCATTGTAATTACTAAATGTGCATCACATATCACTTCATTTTGCATATCCACCACTAATGACATGGCTTGTAAAATCGAGCACTGACATGCACTAGTATGTCAAAATCTGACTCTAGTAGATAGTTGAGCAGTGATAGAAAAAATCTAGTGAGATGTTAGTGCTGGTTAGCAAACTGTTAGCTAGCATTTCAATTCAAAACAATAAAATTCAACTACGCCTCCATCTGCTTGTACTTGCTAGTATATGTACAGACATGATAAAGCGTTGATGCTACATCCTCCATACCCTAGAGTAGATAGCATTAGTAATGGTTGATGCCTTTGCAAGTTGTTACACCATTCAGTTTGTTTTGGTTTTCTTCTCAATTTCAATGCTGTTGGCGGGGTGTTTAGTGGTTTTTAAAAAAGTTGCACCTTGGATGATAGCCCATATGTACGCTTAGGCTGGGCTGTTGAGCTTTTACTTATCTATCTTTGCTAATATGTTTATCATCTTGTGTGTTAAAGTTATTTTGTGTTTCTTTGTGTTGTCTTTAGGAACAACAAAAAGGAAGGAATTGCATGGGACAACCTGTGTCCATGCACTCTCTGGAACATGGGGATTAAAACCCGATGGCACTGTTTTTCAAGCTTATAGAATACATTTTACTTGTAATATACCTGGTGTGCATTACTCTAGTTTTGTTCTTTTGATTGACTCAAAGCTAGATGATGATGTGGGAAATGTTGAAATGGAACTTTTCTTACTTTCGAAGTTTGTGAAATCTTCGGTTTCTTCATGCGGCGAAATACATCTAGATGCAGAACAGGTTCAAGCATAAGTTTAAAATAATTTGGGTTTTGTTTTACGTGAAACACTTCTACTAATGCCAAAGCATTCTGTTTTTCCTTACTAGGTGGTGCGAGCAATGTGCTTTCAAGAATTTTTTTTTAATGGGATATTTGGGAAATTGTTTGTTCGATTGAAATCATCAAGAGGAGGAAGAAAATTTCTACTGCAAGGGGAATCGCTATGGGAACCATCAAACATGTACCTTCTCCTACCACTGGAGTCATCAAATGTCTCTAGTGATGAACCTTGGAGAATTAATTGGATGGGAATCAATTCTTGTGTTTCTGTGGTAGAATTTTTGAAAGAAAATGCTTGGTTAAGCGCTGAGCAATCTAGTGGTGATAGGGGAAATTCATCAGTTCATGGCACGAACTCAATTGAGTCTGAATGCAAAGCCACAAATGTCATCCACCTGGCCAATAAATCAATTGGTACCAAAAACCTCAGGGAGATGGTGGTTTTGGCAATTCACACAGGGAGAATTTACTCTGTCTTACGTGCCGTTGATAATACATCTGCTGAGAGTCCTTTTGATGGGAACTCTGATGCAATCCCTTCTAGTTATTCATCCTTTGCAGAGTACTTTAGCAAAAAGTAGGTACTTTTTTATTTTATTTATATATATACTAAATGTAATGTTATGTTCACTGCATAGTCTATTTTGGCCCACCATTTGTCACTTACTGAAACTCAACATTAACTTTGATCAGGTATGGGATTACACTAATGCATCCTGGACAGCCTTTGCTACTGCTAAAGCAAAGTCACAATGCACACAACCTTCTTGTGGATTTTAGGAATGAAGGTTTGCTCACTTGCATGTTAAACTTTTGTTAGAACAAAGAAGCTTTCATATTGTGCCATCCCTGTGTTCTGTTGTTTTACGGTCAGGATTTATATCAAATCTATGTTTCATTTCCATTGTTATAAGATTTTGTAAGTTGCTTTTAAATGTGTAATTTATTAATTTATCTTGTTCTTTCAGTGCAAAATGTGTTCTAAGACTTATGGAGACTACTTAATTTAATGTTATGAGAATCCACTAGCTCTCTCTCTCTCTCTCTCCTGATGTTTGTAAATTGGTTGAAGAGGTATTCATGATTTTAAGGCTTGGTATCTGGGCAGCATGCATTTACAAGGGTTCTTACGTTCTTAGGCAGAGGAAATGCCCTTTTAGTGGAATTCTGCATACTTCAACGGGGGGAAATATGAATCTTGTTGTTACACAACCTCCCATCTATCCTCGAGTGAATCTGTTGACCTTTTAGTCCAAGCCATCCCATGCACATCAAAGATATTTATTCACATCTGCTGACTCTTCTCATGACAGGCCTCCTTTTAGTAGGCCCATAGACACAAAGATGGGCTCTACTCTTGTTCACATTTTTTAATCTGATTGAAACAAAAAAGTTGGGAGTGCTAAATATTCTCCATTACTCTTCTTATCACACATGAATGTCCCCTCCGAAGTTCCTTTTGTTGGCAAATACATTTAGTGACTACTGCTCAGCTTAATTTCTTGCAAATTATGATTCCCAAAATTTACATTATGGTACATTAATACATGGCATTTTATTTAAATTTTTTTATAAACGGAAAACAAGTTAGTTATAAAATTTTTTAGGTGATGCAATCAATCTAAAATTTTATCCTGTTCAAGAACAGGATGTTGGTGAAAATGAGGGGTAGTAGGCACTACTCCATGGCATATCTAAGGTCAACCTGAGGTCCTCATAAATGAGCCTATGCATTTCCAAAAAAGACTACTGCATTGTTGTTTGTACGCATTTAACTGTGAGAGCAGTCTGTCATAAGAGCCAATTTATTTTCTCCTTCATGTACTATTTCATAGAACTAGTATCTCTCCCGAAGATCTAAAAGCAGGTAAAACCTCTCAAAACACACTGTTTAACATATCCCTCATTTTGAGCCCCCATCAAAATATCATAAACAATGGTTTAATGTTAAGTATTTTTCAAAAAGCATATCAACCTACAAAATGAAACAAAGGTTACCTACAAAAAGTATGGACAAAACAAAAAATTGAAAAGACAGTGTCGCGTAGTGTTACAATGTGCCCTATTCAAATTGAATATGACAAGGGTAAGGTTATGGGATATCTGTCCAGCCCCCATGCCCAGATTACACTTGGATGCTTGTGATATTTGAAGAAGAGAAAGAACCTCTCATTTGATAGTAAAGAAATTTTTTTAGCATCTCACATGGATAGAAGATATAAATCCCCTAAATTTCATATAATTTCAAGTACATTTCTAAATAATTTATAACATCTTATGTTATTGCATAGGTGTGGTTTCATGATTTCATCAAGTTTGCCTTGTAAAGTGACTGAGCTTTTAGATTTTTGTTCTCTAGAAGCTACTCTAATGCAACTGTTGATTTGATTTACCTATATGGCCATAATTTGTGTACACACTTATTTATTTATTTATTTAGCAGGTGCTTCATTTGGAAAGAATTTGGAAGCAGTCAATAAAATGGCTGTTGAAAAACCCCGAAATCATGTGCACATGCCACCTGAACTTCTAGTCAGTATTGATGTACCAATAAATGTTCTGAAATCATTTTACTTGCTACCATCATTAATGTACCGACTGGAGTCCCTGATGTTGGCCAGCCAGCTTAGAGAAGAGATTGCGTGTCATTCTAGCAATATTCGGATACCTAGCTCATTGGTTTGTGTTTCTATTGTGGGAAATGTTGGCATGGTTATGCCTATTTTCTAATAATTAACTTCTTGGTATTTATTATCTAAATATTCTGTGTCTTGATTAGATTCTGGAAGCCATCACAACTCTTAGATGTAATGAAGTTTTTTCCATGGAGCGCTTGGAGTTGCTGGGAGACTCAGTTTTGAAGTATTCTGTGAGCTGCCACCTCTTTCTTAAATATCCCAAGAAGCATGAAGGACAATTATCTGCTAGACGCTCATGGGCTGTTTGCAATTCAACCCTACATAAATTGGGAACTGATCGCAACTTACAGGTTCTAATTTCTCTGTTAGCAGTTGTGTAATTCTATTCAACTGGTGACTTTTTTCAGTCCGTATTTGTAGTGTTTTGGCAGTCACATATTTCAATTTGTAACCAAGCACAGCTAATCAGTGCTTGGAATTTTGAGGTACTCGTTTTCCATCCTTTCACAGTTCCCTTTTTTGATGCCATTTTAATCTGCCAGGATCAATAGAAGTTGAAAGATGAAGCTAATTATACATTTATATGTAACCAGTTTAAAAATATCAATATTTATAAAATTGACAATCTTGCTGGTAACCTTGTTTCTAAAACTAAGATCTTGATCCTTGCAAATCTTTATAACAAATAATCACACCTCACATGTTGAATTAGATGATAATTACTTCCATTGAAATATCAATTAACCTGTACCTTTCCTTTCTCGTTGAAACTACAGATCTGGAAAATTTTCTTTTCCCAAAACTCTTTAGAACATAAATTTTCCAGGAACAAAAACCACCTATTTTTCCAATTTTTTGTGGTTTCTACTGAAAAAGAGAACTTGAAGAATAATTGAGGTGTCATTTCTGGGATGGGAACATGGGGCTTCATTTTTGCTCGAAGTAGAGGCGCTTGCAGTTGTTTATTTATACAGATTATATAAACTTTTAAATATTATTTTTCCTTTGGCCAGACATATGGGACACTAAACATACTCATCAAAAAAATGTTGGAAAGTATACACATATGACACATTCAGTGGTTTTCCCTCCTTTTGGCAACGCCAAGACTGGTCCATAAATATTTGACTGCTCTAGCACACCTCATGCCGTCTTGCACACTTCATTACAAACCTTCAATTTTGTTTTAATTGACATTGCACCAATCGATCTTGGTCAAGTTTTAGCCTTTTGTTTATGGATCAAGCTTGTTTGTTGGAGATGTTGGGAATTTGTTTGTGGTAGCCTTCCCAGGAGCTTTTGTGTAAGCAATTATAACACTCCAAATGGGCACAGAACAACATTATTAACTAGAACTGTTGCATTGTAGGTATTAGAGGGTTTCATGGTGAACTTACCTTATGATGTTGGAGTTCAGTTGCCAAGCTGAAGTAGAAGTTTAGGTGCTTCTGAGTTGTAATGATGTGATGTTAAGCCTTAGATATACTTGATTAATTTATAATTTTAACTTGAGAATTGATTCTAGAAGCTCACCTGCTTATGCTCTGGTGCAATCGTACTTACTAACCTTTTAAATGTACTTTCCTTTCATATTCTTTCATATATTTTGGAATTTTTAATAACATAACCAGATTCAATTTTTGAAGTATTGAACTATGATTTGGTAGGGGTATATACGAGACGGTGCATTTGAACCCCGTCGATGGATTGCTCCAGGACAGCGTTCTATACACCCTTGTCCTTGTTCTTGTGGGGTGGATACTTTAGAGGTGCCTCTCGACATCAAATTTCAAACTGAAGATGCTAAAGTTGTTGGGAAGTGCTGTGACAGGGGTCATAGGTGGATGGGTTCAAAAACCATATCTGATTGTGTTGAAGCCCTCATAGGAGCCTACTATGTTGGTGGTGGATTGACTGCAGCTCTTCAATTGATGAAATGGCTTGGTGTTGATGCTGAGCTTGAGCCGTCACTAGTAGATGAAGCCATAAAAGTTGCATCTCTCCACTCCTACATTCCAAAAGCTAAAGAGATTGAAACTCTAGAGTCAAAGCTTGGGTATGAGTTCTCTATCAGGGGTCTGTTACTAGAGGCGATAACACATGCATCTGAGCAAGAACTTGGGGTTGGCTACTGTTACCAGGTAACAAAGGGTGATTTTGTTATTTGTTTTAATTTTCTCCTTTCCCTATTTTACTGAGAGCAGTTAAAATGAATTGAAAAAAACAAAATAGGTTAAATCTTGTTACTGGCTGTAACTTGGTTTTAAAGATTTTTACTTAAGCAGCTAAATCTGCCTAGGTGGTTTCATCTCCCACTGCCAATACATGGATTTGCAGATTAACAGAAGATGTTTGGACGATGGGCAGATAGCTTATATTGGGAGTGTAATTTGTAGGCGCTTTCAAGTACCCATATCCATTCACATCTTGGGCACTTAAGCTTTAACTGATGGAATGGAAAAACATTTTCTTGTTGTTTGTAATATCTTACTTTTTCTTTAGAGTTGGACTATATTCTTTTATAGATTTTACTGCATAGCATATTGTCCTTTTTTTTATTTTTTGCCATTTCATTTATAAGGTTTCATATGATCTCTTCCCTTTCTTCTTTTGTTGTGTTTTACAGAGGCTTGAATTTCTTGTTGACTCCATGTAGACATACTTATTACATTTATTCTCTTATATATTTAACTGCATAACAACATAATATATACATTTTTCTATTTTATTCAATTCCATTGATAAGGTTCCATATGATCTCACCTTTCTCCTTTTATTGTTTTTGACAGAGGCTTGAATTTCTTGGTGACTCTGTGTTGGACATACTTATTACATGGCATTTGTACCAAAGTCATACTGATATTGATCCAGGAGAGTTGACCGACTTACGTTCGGCCTCTGTTAACAACGAAAATTTTGCTAATGTTGCTGTGAAAAAGAACCTTTACCAGCACCTTCAACATCGCTCTGGATTACTTTTAAATCAAATAACAGAGTATGTGAAGTTTATTTCTGGTTCTCAAAGAACCACTCAGCCCTTGCAAGGTGGGAAGGGTCTTAAGGTAATTTGTTACTCTGGCTATTTTTAACATTTCACTACGAGGTTGAAAATATGTAGTCATGTTTATTTCATTCCACTTGCTTACAGTTTGCTGCTTTCTGATTTTAGTCTCTTGTCCTTTTTTTTTCCAAAACTAAGAATCACTTTTCCTTGGCATCTGTTTTCTGCTACAGACTCTTGGAGACTTGGTGGAAAGTATTGCAGGGGCAATACTTATTGATACCAAGCTCAATCTTGATGAAGTGTGGAGAATTTTTGAACCTCTGTTGTCTCCAATTGTGACCCCTGATAAACTTGAACTGCCTCCTTTGCGTGAACTTATTGAATTATGCGACTCTCTTGGGTACTTTATAAAAGAAAATTGTATTAAAAAGGGAGGAATGGTGCATGCAGAGCTTAGATTACAGCTGAAAGACGTCTTACTGGTTGGAGAAGGACTTGGGCACAATAGAAAAGTTGCAAAGGGACAAGCAGCTCTTCATTTGTTGAAGGACCTGGAGGTTTGTTAATGCTTCTTTAAATGCATGCATTCGGTTATTTTACAAGTTTTCTTTTTTGTCAAGGATAGCAATAAAATGTCACATAATAGAAAAACTAATGTAGTGTTTCCCCCAACTATCTCTTTTAAGGATGTTGCAACTCTAGATCACTTCATTTTTGTGTAGTAAATGTTTTCGAACCAATATTATTGAGCACGCTAGTAAGAGAAAAATCTTTAGTTGAGGAATCAATTCCTCATCTGTGATAAAGTTTACGATATATAAATGACCGAGTACTATGATTGTCAATATCATAAATAAAGTGTCTCAACCTTCATTCCAAAAGATTCTTTTGGAAGCTATGGTGCATCAAATCAACAGGTTTGACTCTTTTTTCAATGGAGTCATCTGCCTCTGCATGGATGTCTTTGGTCACCTATCGGCTCAAAGCTCCCAACCATGAAGCTCTTTTCTTGAGCTAGTCAACAATTCATGGATCCATGGTTTGGATGAAGCTATGTAACCGGGTAGAGATGATATGTCTCAACAATGTTTATCTCAGCAACACAAAACAAGGGTATCGCTCATTATAGGACATGACCAAACATCTCACGACATGAGCTGACCACTTTATATTGGCAATAAGTACTTCACCCATTTTCTTTTATTTTCCACTAAGCTTGCCCCATGGGACAATGGGCGCTTTTCGTGTTTCACTTTTGATTGAGAATGAAGACTGATTCTCTTATTCGGAAGATTTGAAACACATTGACATGGTACCCAGTCATTCTTAATAATAGAAAGATTTGGTGGAAATTTACACTGGTCAAATAGAAGGCTGATTGCTTCTCGTATCATTCGTTTGATCGGCGATGGATCAAATACCAACATATGGTTGGACCCCCAGTACTGAAAGACATATTTAGTTTACTTGAGAAAGTAGTAAAGCATTGAAAGTAGTGAGCTAAGAAACACAAACACTTCCAGGGAGGAAGCGTATTGCGTATGACACTCTTCAGACACGTCTAAAAGCGTGTCCGACACTTCTTCAATGTGTCTTAATTAAAAAAACCATATTCATATTATTGGATAGTTTACTGACACTTCGCAGACACTTCGCCGACTCTTCTTGAACCCTCTGAACATGTCCTATGTGATAAATCACTTCATAGTAGCAATGTTTGGCATTCTTCAAAACACAACTTATGCACTACAAATATATTTTGTAACATTTATAAGATGAATGAATACATCATGTGTATTATAATGTTCTGTAATTTTTTTGTATTCTTTAGAATGTATGTCTTATGTGAATGATATACTGAAGTTTAAATTATGAAAAAATTGTAAGTTTATAAATATATTTAGTATAATGTTACATAATTTTTTTTTTTTGAATAAATTATTCATATATGACATATAATAAATTTATAAATATATAAAATTTTAACGTGTCCTAACCGTGTCGTGTCCGGTATTTTTTGAAACTCAACATGTTGGCGTTTCCCTGTCATGTCGCATGTCCATGTATGTGCTACTTACGAAGGGAGAGAGGGAACTCTTGCTATGGCTTATAACGAATTAAAATATTTGTTTTCTTATGGAAATAGACATTATATATTCTGAATGCTTTTTTTAAGCTGTACCAGCATAATTGATTTAACACTAGTTTGATGATGGATGGTGGTCTTTGAGGCTGTTGTAATCATAAAACATAGCAATGAATGCAGTAAAATTCACAGAAGTGTTGATCATTTGCACTTGTATATTTATCGACTAAAGATGTTGCTTAGTCTTGGCAGCTTTAACTCAACCTTCATTCTGTCACAACTCTAATGCTGTAATTCTTTCATCGAAACAGAGTAGAGGAATTTCATACTCCAAAAGGAGAAAACAATGTCCTGATGGAGTTGGTGTTCAGTCTACCCTGCACCTGGATAATAATATCTGCAGCCAAACAAACGCTGATCCTTCACAGCCAAAAGCCCAGAAAAAACAAAAGACAACCGTAACTCAGTTGGATTCAGTGCCGAATAAAAATCCTTACCATAGCGATGACTGTTCTAGCAAATCTTGTGACATCCCAGGTACGCACTATTGTTCTTGCTTACCCATTACTAAATCTACAAGTTTTTATTTTTATTTTTTATGCTCCTGTTGTAAGGTGCTTTCAAGAAAAGGAATTCTCTAGGAAATCTGGTCGTCTCTTTGGAAGAAATAAATTATCTAAAATTGGATGGCAATTATAGGTTGATAACTAATACAAATAACTAATAATTTTGAAGGAATTACCACTTGCCTATTTCAACTAAATCATTTCCAACTGTTCTTTCAGCGTTTTAAGTATCCATGTGGCTATAGTATTGGGTATATTGCCATCTTCATTTATATCTATATTTAAAATTTACTCTTTTTCTTGTAGAATCAAAATATCATGAAATGAATAATTGAGCTATTGACTTTATATAATATATAGTATATTGTGCATTGGGATGTTTTCGGCGAAGTCAGCCAGGCTTCGTCGGAGATTGATTTTTTTGGGTGATCGGTCTTATGAGTTTGAGAAGGGGCTGGCGGACGCGATAGGTCGACGTCATGTAGTAGATATTGTCGAACGTGGTCAAGGGGTTCGGCAAGCGATTGAGTTATTCGGTGCAGAGATCAAATGGGTTGCGGATCAAATGAGAAAGGCATCCAAGATGAACACCGTTGGGGTGTTTTTGGGGCGGGTCTCTAGGGGCCAGCGAAGTGTGGTGTGTTGGCTTCGTCCGGAGGAGGTGGGGCATCTGTTCAGATTGTGGTTCATATGGGTGATCGTCAAACTCATATGTTCCTTCCGCAATCATCGTTTGGGGATGGATGGACGGGTGTTGCTCTGGTTTTGGATGGATGGGTCATAAAAGGCCAGGACTTTCGTGGGGGAAGAGGTAATTCATGGCCGATTGGGAAGGCGGTGGTTGTGCCCGGGGTTGGAGAGGAGGATGTGGTGGTGAGACTGGGGTCTGGTGCCGAGTGGGTATCCTTTTTGGATTCGTGTCTGGTGGGGCGAGTGGGAGAATTGGGAGAGAACGAGATGGAGGTATTTTGCCTATCGGCGTGGGTTAACCGATTGTGAAAGGTCAGTGGAGGTGTACAAGTGAAGGTCATTGGCGGACAGTATGTGTTATTTGCTTTTCCATCTAAGGTAGGAGTTATCAGAATTCTGGAAGGCAAATGGATGGTCGAAGGTCAATGTCCGAGTCTTGACTGGTGGTCGCCAGAGGCGTTGTATGCCAAGGGAAATCATCGATCGCCGAGACATAGTTCTTGGGTCTAGGTGCTGGGACTTCCGCTACATGTTCGTGGAGAGCAGGTGTATCGTGCGGTTGGTGATTGGTGTGGAGGTTTCTTGGAGGTTGATGTTGCAACAACGATGGAGGGACCTCTGGGTTGCATTCGACTCAAAGTTCATGGAACAGCTAGGGGTGCTCCGGCACGAATCACCATTCGTTAGGGTGATTGGAGATATTCGTTGCCTATTTGGTCGGAGGATGGTCCGGTGGTGGAGCCTTGCGGGCTGCCGAAGAAGCGTGATGGTCGTGCGTTGGTTATGGAACATCGGGATTTGGTGCGATCTGCTGCGCATGATGGTTACCGTGATTTGGGGAAAATGAAGACGCAGTCGCAGATCTCCTAGCGTTGGGTCGGGCCAAGGAAGGCTTGGCAACCAAAAATGACTGGGCAGTGGGCCCCCACACTTAAAGGGACAATTTTCAGCTGACCCCGATTTGGGCCAGGGTAGGGGAAAATATTAATACAGTTAGTGGCCCATCTGTTCAAGGACCCAAAGGAGGGGTTATCAACCTGCTGCAAGGTAATAATAGGGTGGGCCAAATTCAGGTTAGGGCCTAAGGGTTGGGCTTGGAGAAAATGGCCCATTCTGTGATAGGCGTTAAAGGCGATTCTGGGTTAACTACCCCAGTGGCCCAGGTCTTTAACACTTTGCGTCGCAATTTGGATCCAAGTCAGATGGGTCAAATTTTGACTCCAAGATCTACAACGGAAGGGCAGAAGGTTACACTAGCAACGTCTGTCACTGGTTGTGACGAGGAGCAGGGTGGTTTGTGCGATGTTTCGGTGGACGATATAGCGTCCAGCCAGTCTTTTGGTACAAATGTGGATATGGGCCAGCACTGGGTAAATGACGATGCAGTGAGTGCCGCGGCAGAATGGGTTGGGAGGGAGTTACCTCTTGTGGTGCATCCTCTTGTCATTTCAACTCCCGCCATCCATGGTGTGAACTCATATAAAAGTCAGGTTCAGCATTAAGTTGATTTGAATGGGTTGGAGGTTCCTTCAAAGGACACTGTTTCGGAGTGGGTGCTCTGTAGGATCAGCGAGGTCAGTCGTTTGCTCAGTGTATCTTTTGAAGGCCATGAGACTGAGGCTATGAGTTTATTCACAGCAGTGGAAATTTCATGGCGACAAGGGGGTCAGTCGTTTGCTTGGTGTATAGGCCATGAGACTGAGGCTATGAGTTTATTCACAGCAATGGAAACTTCATGGCAACAAGGGGCTTTATCACAGGAGGGTGGCTCTTCTGAAGTGGTGCACCGTAGAGGGTCACGGGAGCTCAGAAATTTTTGAGTGTTCTGTTAACTATGACCATGGAGGAGAGGGGAGGGGAGTGGGCGGGGCCCAAGGAGAGAGCGAGAAGGTCCTCTATTATTGAAATGAAGTTAAAAGTGTTATCGTGGAATGTGCATGGCTTGAAAGTTGAATGAGAGGGACAAACGCCTAGCAGTCAGTTCACTGCTTCGTAGTGCGAAAGCGGATGTGGTATGTTTGCAGGAAACGAAAATGGAGGTGTTGGGTGGAGATGTGGTGAGAGAGGTCTGGGGTGGTCGGTTTATGGAGTGGACATACTTACCAGCTATGGGTACGGCAGGAGGGGTTCTTCTCTGTTGGGATAATAGAGTGGTGGTGAAGGAGGATGAGGAGGTAGGAGGTTTTTCGGTGTCGTGTTTGTTTCGATGTGTGGAAGATAATTTCAAGTGGGTGTTTTCTGGGGTGTGGGCCAGTTCGAAGTTCAGAGCGAAGTGTTTTTTGGGGGGAATTGGGGGATGTTGCGAATCGATGGTCGGAGCCATGGTGTGTGGGGGGGATTTGAACATGGTTCTATGGCTGGCAGAGAAGCTAGAGAGTAGTAGGGCGAATGGGTCCATGCGGGCTTTCTATGCGTTTATTGATGAGTTGAATTTGGTTGATTTGCCTCTTCATGGGGGGAGTTTCACTTGGTCTAATGGCCACCAGATGTCCCAGATTGATAGATTTATGGTTACTAGTGGTTGGGAGGCGCACTTTTCGAAGGTTGTTCAAAGTCGTTTACCCCATTCAGTGTCAGATCATTGGCCTATTTTGAACGAGTGTGGAGGGTTTCGCAGTGGGCCGACGCCTTTTCGATTCGAGAATATGTGGTTGCAATCTGAGGGATTTTTAGAAAAGGTCTGTCAGTGGTGGAGTAGCTATTCAGTTAGTGGCACACCCAGTTGCATGTTGGCTCAAAAATTAAAACTGCTCAAAAGGGATTTGAAACTGTGGAATAAGGAGACTTTTGGTCGGTTGGAAATAAAGAAAGCGGAAGTGGTGGATATTCTGCAGTCTTTAGATGGTCAGGAAGTGTCTGGTGGGCTTCTCGGGGTGGATGTGGCTAGAAGGGAGGCGGCTCTACAGGATTATATTCGTTTGGCTCATATGGAAGAGATTTGTTTTCGGCAGAAATCTCGTTGCTTATGGTTGAAGGATGGGGGATCGAAATACCAAGTTTTTCCACAAGATGGCAAATGGTCCTAGAAGGGCTAATCAGATTGTGCGTATGCGGGTGGATGGGAGAGATTTGTCTACGGATGACACGATTCGGGACGGTATTGTCAGTTTTTATTAGTGGCTTTTCCGGGAACAAGATGGGGCATGGAGGCCAGGGTTGGACGGGGTGCTGTTTCATATTCTTCCTGAAGGGGATAGGGAGCGTTTGGAGCGAGGCTTCGCGGAGGAGGAGGTGTAAGGGGCTCTGAAGATGATGAGTGGTAACAAGGCTCCGGGTCCAGATGGTTTCACTTTGGCTTTCTTCTAGCATTGTTGGGAGGTGGTTAAGGAGGATGTGATGCCAGTATTTGAGGCATTTTCCACCACTGGGCAGTTCGAGAGGAGCTTTAATGCGACCTTTCTAGCTTTGATTCCGAAGAAAGGGGGAGCTGAGGATGTGCGGGATTTCAGGCCTATTAGTTTGCTTGGGAGTGCATATAACTTGTTGGCAAAAGTGTTGGCAAACAGACTTCAGAGTGTTGCCGGCGGTGGTGTCTGAATCCCATAATGCTTTTGTAAGGGGGCGGCAGATTTTGGATGCGGTTTTGGTCGCTAATGAGTGTGTTGATTCTCGACTCCAAGGAGGGCAACCTGGTTTAGTCTGTAAGTTGGATATTGAGAAGGCTTATGATAATGCCAATTGGAATTTCCTGTTTTATCTTATGTATCGGATGGGTTTTGGGGCCACATGGTATAAGTGGATAAAGTTCTGTGTATTCACAGTGCGGATGTCTGTTTTGGTGAATGGTTCACCAGCTGGTTTCTTTCCGACTTTTCGGGGTCTTCGGCAGGGGGATCCTTTATCTCCTCTGTTGTTTATCCTAGTTATGGAGGCTTTTAGTCGTTTGTTGTCTAAGGCTGTGATTGAAGGTTTGGTGGCGGGTTTTAGTGTGGGATCTCCGACTGGGACACCAATTAGGGTTTCTCATTTACTGTATGCTGATGATGCTTTGGTTTTCTGTGATGTGGATATGTAGCGAGTGGGGTTCCTTCGTTGTGTTCTAATTTGTTTTGAGGCTGTTTCAGGCTTGCAGATTAATTTAAGCAAGTCGGAATTTATCCCGGTGGGGGAGGTTGAGCGAATGCCTGTGGTAGCGGTGGTTTTAGGCTGTAAGGTAGCAACTTTACCAGTGACTTACTTGGGATTGCCGTTGGGTGCTACCTTCAAGGCGACAGGGGTATTGGATGGAGTGGTGGAACGGGTACAACGTCGTTTGGCTGGATGAAGGCGCCAATACTTATC